AGCCAGTTTCTCAGTTGAGGTTCCCCTCCTCTTAGATGACTCTAGCTTGTGTCACGTTGACATAAAACTAGCCTGCATAATCTGTTTCATTGACCAGATGAGAACTCTATGTGATTTTCACAAATGTCATTCACATGGAAAGAGATCTTGTGACTATTACACAAAGACTTTTGATATCTAAGAATAGAGCATTTCTCCAGGAAATGATTTGATTATGTATTCACTTAAGTCACTTAAAAAATGTTGTGCCAGGGAGAAATTGATTCTACATCAGAAGGATGCTAAGTTTACAGCTAACTGCTGGAACAACAGGGATGGTTTCTGTTCTCATAGTGCTCTGGTCAAATCCAGGATCTCGGGCTTGCTTCGAAAGTGTGTAACCACTAGGCTGCATCTCCAGTACTTTAAAATTAATTAACCCTGAACAACTGAAGTCCTACAAACTTGTAAAGGCATATGCATTTTTATGATGGTGTTTACAAATAGCTCTTCTTGTAGCAATTCCCTTGTCTTTAGTGTGCTACATGCAGTTTTATAACAGTATCATACTGGTCTCTCCACTTAGAGACATCATACATCCCAACTCACTCAATTGTAAGCCAGGTGCTGGAACACAGTCAAGAATTGATTAGACAAAAGAAAGTGCACTCGAGTTGACGGCATTTTAGTGTGATGATTTTCTAGACAATGAAGCTAAATCAATCATTTGTTAGACAGGATTTTCCTAAAGCTTTGCTTCAGTACCATTGCCATCTTGCATAACGCCTGGACAGTGGACAGTGAAATCCACTCACTGCTAGAGCAGTGTGTTTGGTTTCTTGGAAGCTCAAAGAGACAGAAATATAAACACACTCACTGAATTTGCCATTACTGTCTGATTTTGCTCTTCTGTCTTTGAGACAGTGTTTTACCATGTGACTCAGGCTTGCTTAACCTTATGATGTGGCCTATGCTGCTCTCAAACTTGAGAATCTCTTGCTCCAGCCTTTCAAGTGCTTGGATTACGTGCCATCCCGTCTGGTTTTCCACTGCTTTTACTTGTGAATGTCCATTGGAGTCTTGACTCAGGTCAACACACACACAGACACAAATATGTGCAGCTTTAATAATCTCCACAGTAAAACTTTGCTAACTAACATGGACTCTTGTCATTGGTTGCTAAAGTCACAGATTCACTACAACCTTACATCACTGACATAATTTTATTTTAGAGCCCGAGTGGAACAAAAGTCATTATGTCATTTATTTTGCTTGTTGAAACCTGAAAATTCACACGAACTCTCCTTACACGTTTCTTTGACGTTGTAGTGAGCATCTGAGGCATTATCAGTGTGTGAATAGTAGATAGACTGTTTTCATACACAGTCCAAACACGTCATATGTCTACTTCTTCCTGAAAATTCCAACCACTGAAAAGGGAATGATGGCTTAATGGGCACAGTGCTTGTTATACGAATGTGGGGAATGGAGTTTAGGACCCTAGCACCTAGCCAATATCAGGTGGTGTGATGGCCCACGTGTTACTCCAACACTTGGGAGGCAAACACAGGGCATCCCAAAAGCCATTCGGCTAGCTTGACTAGATAACTGCATGAGCTCAGTGTATGAGATGAAAATCAATGAAGAGAAATCTTAAAGACACCCAATGTCACCCCTTGACAACATATGGTTACCTTAACACATGCAAATTTGTACACACACACACACACACACACACACACACAATTATAGATACATAAACAAAGACACAGACACATATACACACACAAATGCAGACACAGAGATAAATACACAAAGACACACACACACACACACACACACACACACACATACACACATACACACACACACACACTGTACCCTCCCTTAGTTCTGTAGCTGGGAAACCCTGTATACTAGTTGGAAGGCTGTTTGATGAAAATATGTGCAAGGCTTCCCTGAATGTGAGTTTGGGTGGGTCAGTCAGAGCATGCTCTCCAGGCTTGTGACGTGCTTGTCATCAGAGACCACAACACATGACTACAGAATGAACCCATCTGCCTGCTTGCAGACACTCAGTCCTCATCTTAAGCCCAGCTCTCCAACATCCTGCCAGGCAATTCCACATACTTTCAATACGGCTTTACTCATACACAGATGTACAAAACACCCCTGTGTTATTATTCTTTAGCAAAATAATTATTTCCACAAACTACTGGGGCTGGGAGAAGTACGACTTAGTAAAACAATGTGTGATACCACTAAAAGCAATTAGTAAATTATGCAAAAAACAAAGGAAAATGAATCAGATTCCTATTATCCAGAGTTAACCAATGAAACATTAAGTACCTCTATAGTTTTTATTGTAGGCACAAAATAACTTTTATTTTTTTTTTTTAGCATTGAGATCATATAAAATCATTGGCTTTCTTTAAGGAAACAGTGAATCCCAACACCAATTTCTGCATATAATTAGTTCCATTATGTGAAATGACCAGAGTTTATCCTTTGTTGGACACTGTGATTGCTTTAAACTATCAGTCATGTACTCTTATCAATAACATCCTAATTGGTGTTTTCTTTTACAGAAATATCCTACCTATATTTTTCTCGATGGCTAACTAATAAATGATCTGGGCCCTGAAGCAACTGCCTTTGGGCTGAAGGTACCAGGTTGAGGAATTATGGATGGCTGGGCACTGGCTTTGTGTTCTAGAGAGAAGCTAGAACATTGGCCTCTTCAACAGATGGCTAAATAATCTCTACACAGCCACATGGTGATCAAACTACTGTCCCCAGGAGAGAGGACAATCAGAGAGATGCTGCCATGTAACTGACACTTTAAATGTGCATATCTCCACCTCAAGGCAGGCTCTTTAATGCAATTGCATGGAGAATGCTTGTTCCCAGATTTACAGGGCTGTGCCTGGCTGAGCTTTGAGATACCAAGATCGTATTTTATTCACTAATAGAAAGTACATGCTTTTTTACATTTGTAGAGCAAGATAAATATTGATTCATTCGTCCTTGAACCAAAACTGACAAGTAAAATTGTCACAGGCAGATGACAGGTTTAACGGTGTTGGCTTTATTCACCACGTGTCTTCAGTGCCTCCCCCGTTGCCTGGCCCAAGGAGGTAAACGGACATTTGAGGAGTGGAGACAAAATGTAAAGTGAAAACATCTCCTTTCAGTTGCCAGTCCAGTCTGGGCCTCACTGTGTGAGGAGTGAGGCCCATGCAGGTCTTTTCAGTTGTATTACATAATTAGGGGAAGCAATAACAAACACGCCTGCATCTGATCCAGGTGCTCTGTCAAGATACATTCTTCCTTTGGTTGGTGTAGCACATTTAGGTCTGCAGTTTGATACATTATTTTCCTGGAAAATAAAAGCTGCTTCCCAAAGGGACTGCTTGGGCTGAAGATTCTGTTTCTTTTGAGTGATAGCAAATCACCCTGGATTCCCCTTTAGCTTATGCCACTATGGAAAACTTAGAAACTTTTAATGGCTCAAAATATTGGACCTTTGTGAGGACTGGGCAGAGTTTTCTCTGTTCATCGGTTGTGCTATGAGGTACAGCCTCAAGGAATAAAAACATGAGTGAATTTACGAAGTGCATGTTAAGCACTGACTTGGTAAGAGAAATAAAAGGTCAGTCAACTGTGCATAAATTCATTCAGGATTGTCATGTGTTGGAAGGAGTGGCTAAGTGGGTATGGATAGGGACCAGAACCACCTCATCCTAAAATTCACTTTGGTGGAGATGATGAGTTGGAAGTGAGACTATTCTTAGGTACAGCTTGTAGGATGAGTAGGGATTAGTGGAAAGAAAAAATAAGGCAAAGGATTTTAAAGCAAAAGCAATTCAAGCTGATCCACAGGGACAAGTGATGCCTCCCAAGCAGCGGGAGCAGAGGCTTTGTACCTGTGATAGGAGGTTGTCAGGGCCAAGTGTTGGGTGCATCGAGCATCAGCCACCATGGAGTGTACTGTGTGGGTAATTAAGGTTTTGTTAAGGGGCCCCACCATTCAGTCATTGGTGCCATTAATGTGAATAAAGACCTTTCTTTCCTACAATATTCTTGATTTTCTTTTTGTTTGGGAGTTTCAGCTTTACTAAACTATCTCCTAACTCAGGTGACACAATGGTCCAAACATCTTTATAATTTTTCTGAAAGGTCTTCCATTCATTTGTTTACTACTCATCTCTCATAGGATGTTTCCAATATTCTCTTATGTGCAACTTTGTATGTGGTGGTCAAAGCTAAGCTCGGTGATTTGCCTCATTTTAATACATAGTGATAACCACTTTTGGAACCAGTTCTACAAATGATCTTGACAACAGTTCATGTATGGAATGGATACCGGGCACCACAATAGACATTGGTGTAGCTCAGCTACAGCTGAAGCAGGGACTCATCTCTACAAAGCCCTTGGGAAGGAAGTTCTGTGCAGACTCCTAGGAATGTTAGCTCAGTAAAGGTGGGAGATGAGGAAAGTAGACCTGTTGATATCAAGTGAATGTGTTAGGAATGTTGTAATTACTAACGGGAAATTCTAAAGCTCTTTTCCTTTTCTTTTCCGAGACAGGGTCTTAACATACGACTCAGCCTGGCCATGAACTCATGATCCTTCTGTTCTCATCTCTAGAATACCAGCATTACAGTGTTCAGCAAAGTCTCTTGTTTTAAAGCACTTAAGAACTTATGTATAATTTATTTGTTTAAATATACTTGGATTTTCTATTGAGTAAGCAAATGTGTATTTGCTTTAAAATCCCTATTCCCAGAAGTATAAGGCTAGTTGCTGATATCAATATTTGTTTCCCCATAAATCTGTTTGGACACAGTGGAATGTCTGTGTCCACAATTTGTGCCACCTTTTGCCAGTATTTAGCAAAATAGTGGCACTTTGTGGGATGCGGCTTCAAGGTCATGTTGCGTTTGTAGTCCATTTGAAAACTATGGGACTGAAGAAATGCCTGTGGTCAACAGTTTTCCCCGTTTTGCTTGTTTTCTAGGTAACAATGGCCAACATTGCAATAAACGGAAGTCATTCCCCAGTGACCTGCGAAACGACACTCTTTGCTCTCCGGATGGCAACGTGGAATCAGATCTTGGACCCGTGGGTCTACATTCTGCTCCGGAAGGCTGTCCTTAAGAACTTGTATAAGCTTGCCAGTCACTGCTGTGGAGTGCATATCATCAGTGTGCACATCTGGGAGCTCAGCTCCATCAAGAATTCCTTAAAGGTCGCCGCTATTTCTGAGTCACCAGCTGCAGAGAAGGAGAGTCAGCAAGCATCTATTGAAGTGGGACTGTAGGCCAATGCAGGACTAGAAGACCGGGGAAAGTTTTGGAAACATCTCAGCTGATTGGATTTATAGCCTAACTGGAACATTTGGACCTCAGTGTGTAGTTTGGGAGTACACTGGACTGATGCAGCTTCTGAATTTTGTTATAACAGCTGCTACTGCATGGTTGTGCATTTTTAGTTGCTTTTTATTTTATTTTATTTTTTATTTTATTTTTTGACAGGAGGTAAACCGATACGGTGGAGTTGAATGGAACACAACTTTTGAGTTTAGTTGTGTGACTTGTGTTTGTGGACTAAATGTATCTGTTGAGGCCCAATGCTGATGAATACTTGACCTATTTGTTCATGACTCCTTAATGCTACCTGCACCATGAAATGGTCATTTCATTGACTTATAGACAAGGCCCAATGTTGTGGGAGTTACTTGTCCTGCCAGGTACCATAGCCACTTCAGCCCCAAATAAACACACAAAGACTTATATTAATTTATAAACTGTTGGCTGGTGGGTAGGGCTTGTTATTGGCTAGCTCTGTCTTAATTGTTAACCCATTTCCCTATGGTCTTACCTTACCAGAACAGGGTCCGATCCAGAAATGTTACTCCTTCCTAGGCTACATGAGGTCTCCCTGCAGTCCCTCTCTGCCTACCTTTCCCAGAATTCTCATCTCCTAGTCCCGCCTATCTTCCTGCCTCTATTGGCCAAATAGTGTTTTATTTATCAATCAATAAGAGAAACATATGTTCCTCCCATCAGCTCAAAGTAGTATAAGACTGTATTTGTTTGTGTGCGGGGTTTGTGTCTGTTTACCAGTTCACATATCCTCAATCAATGCCTGCATGACCATGGCATCTGGGATTCACAGTGGCTTGTGATGACCACTACAAATGCTGGGTCAGCCTGACATTGTGGGGCTGATTAGCATGGCCATTCTGGTCACAACTGACACATGTACTTGCTTGCATTTGTTCTTATGAAGGTCAAATATTGTTTGAAAAAAAATTGTGAAGTAATAGATTATCAGTGTTTAACTGATCTCTTTTCCTCTGAAAATTGCAGAGAAACACAGGCTTTATCTTAGCACAGATTCAGCTTCTGATAGAATGCCCACTAAGCCCTATCATAGACTATTCAGACCATCTAAGTCCCAGGGATACATTGCCAAAAACATGGCAGATATTGCTTTACTTGAGCTGCCATTTCTGTGCCAGAGAATAAAAGAAAAACAATCACATATTCAGTCTGTCTACAGCTAGTGTGTTTCTGCTTTACAAACACAGGTATAAGGAAGTTCTGTTGACAGTAGTTTCACTAAATCTATTGGACCATATTTTCAAAAGCCTGTGTTATCAGTGTCAAGGGGAAAGATCTGAAATTAGCCAGGGTTGGTGACCCATTGTTACTGTTAATCAGAGACCAAGGGACAAGGCTCTGTCTCTAAGCTTCCCAGTCATAATTCACACTTCTCCTTTGTTTGTTTGTATAATTAACTTAAAGGTTTTCAGTTTTAGTAATCGTTCTAAGCATTGTAGTCCATCAGTGACTAGGGTTATTGGTTATGTTTTATAAAGAAATACATTTTTAAAGTCCTTGCTTTCATCTTGTCTGACTGTATTTAAACAAAGTACTGTCCCCCTCCATTTGCAATGAGTGTGGGTGCTTTGCTTGAATGCATTTCATTGTATCTTTCTGGCACCTACTGAGACCAGAAAATGGCATCAGGTTCTATGGGACTGGAGGTACAGATGGTTGTGAGCTGCCCTGTGGGTGTTGGGAATTGAACCCAAGTCCTCTGGAAGAGCAATCAGTGCTCTTAACCTCCGAGCAGTCCCTACATCCTCTAAAAGTTGTTTTTATCTGTAAAACTGATTTCAGATTATAGGAAATCTGAGAATTCAATGGAATTAAATTGATATTTTTTTATAAACTGCTTTTGATTGGCAGCTTATATTAGATGTAATTAATGATTTTGGTAAAGTCTCATGAGTAAATTAAAAGAAATGAAACAAGTAGCCTTGTTGAAGGCTTAAAGGAAATTATTTGTAGTGAATTAAAAAGGAGTACATTCTGTTATGTGATAATCTTAACTTAAAGACAATAAGAGATCAATCACACAATTTATTCTTAAGTAGAGAATATGTCAGATAATAGGCAATGATATCCTGGTGTAAATTGTGCAGGGAGTTGTAAAGGTTGTGTCCTATTTAAATTTAAGCTGACAGCTATGTGTTGGTTACTCTGGTGTATATATGTAGACATGCATGTATGTGTGGTTGTGTGTACATACATGTGTATAAGAATTTCTGGGTCTATGTATTGTATGTGCATGTGTTTGTATAATGCATATGTTTGTAAAAAGCCATTGCAGTTTGTGATTGCTGTTCTGTACATAAATGCTATCATGTTTAATTTCAAGAGCACTTTAAACTTGGAAAAACTTCTGGATGGTTCACTTATTTTTAGAGCCAATATTTATTTCCTACAGTGATAAGGTGTTGACATCCTATAAACTGAGGCATGAAGAAGCAAATTTCCATCTTTCTTAATCATAGTTGATAAAAACTCTGCAATTCATAGTTCCCTGCATTTCAACCGAGGAAAGGAGCAGGCAAGGAACTTGCTCCAAGGGCCCAGGTCCCTTCTTGTTGAGCCTCTACTGTAGACAGAATTGGTTGGCCCTCTATTGCTGTAATGTTACCCTGGCTATGTGTGTCTACAGTGAGGTCATCTTGTAGCCTCATGTGGTGGAGGCGAGGCTCTGGGAAGTGATAAATGAGTTACTGTGTGCATATTTTGGAAGATTTGTCCATACTACCTGAGCAATTTGTCAGGTAACTTAACTGGACTTATGAGGCCAAACTCATAGTGTAAATATAAAAAATAGAAAAAAAAAACTTGACTCCAAAATTCTCTGTGTTATTGTAGCTGTAGTATAGAGATCACTTATAGCACAGTTTATTGTACAATGAGCAATGAAGAGGAACATTCCCTGATAACTTCCTGAGTTATCAGTATGAATAAAAGTGCTTGTGCTTATTCATTATAATAAGTAGTATAAATAGTTCCAACAAGCTTACCAATGTGAATGTTTATGCTCTGTTTTGACATATTTAGACTGTTTTACTTTTTACATATATTACTTTTTTCTTATTTTACATATCGATCCCTGTTCCCTCTCCCTCCCTCCCTCCCATGCCCACACCCTACCCACTCCACAGGAAGGGTGGTGCCTTCCAGGATGGATCATCAAAATCTGTCAAGTCATTTGGAGTAGGGACTAGGCTCTCTCTCCTGCCTCTAGGCTAAGGGAGTATCCCTCCATGGGGAATGTGTTCCCAAAGTCCTTTTGTGCACCAGGGATAGATCCTGGTTCCACTGTCAGAGGTCCCTTAGACTGCCCAGGTCTTCTAGCTGAGACCCATGTTCAGGGGGTCAGAGTCAGTCCCATGCTGGTTTCCCAGCTATCAGTCTGGGGGTCCATGAGCTCCTCCTTGCTCAGGTCAGCTGTCTCCTATGTGTCATCATAGAGCCCTCATCTAGCAGCTGATGGAAACTGAAACAGACACCCACAGCTAAACACTGAGCCAAACTCCTGCAATACAGTTGCAGAAAGGGAGGAGTGATAAGCAAAGGGGTCAAGACCAGGCTACAGAGAATTACTTTCTTAGAGGGAAACAAATACTAAACATGTCTGAACTTTTTCCAGTCTTTGTAACTGTTTAATGAAAATGAGATAAAATGCATACCACTGTTTTCCAAGATTGAATACTGAATTATAATTAGCTGTGGGTGTCAACCACAAACATGACACTTGCTAGTGGGTTTAAGGACATGATAAAAATATTTTAAAGACAGGATGTCTATGAAGTAGAAAATTCCTAGATGTCAACTTGCACATAAGTGGGTATCTGTTTTCTTTCCTCACTTGCAGTCTTAAAAGGCAATGGCCTTGTTTTTGTGCCTAATGTGTGGTTAGGACCTAAATGAGGGTAATGACTGGGTAGAATGACACTTTATAGAAATGGTGGGCTACCTGCTTTACTATCTATGAATTGCTTTCTAGGATCAGAATATAAAATTGGGATTGGACAGAATTTACCAGCAGGTAAATAGTTTTTTACTTCAACTCATTACCGGCACATTTCAAATGGAGAGGACGAGGGGTTCTTTTGTTATATGAATGAATGTATTTTGTGTTCCTCATACTTATAGTAAAAGAGTAAATTACACACACACACACACACACACACATATATATTGCTTGCATTAATTGCTTGCTTGCATTATTGCTTGCATTAATATGCACTGCATGCATATTAAAAGCTTTGGATAGCGTGAAACTTCAAATGGTTTTATGATGAGCACGGACTAGTATTTATTGCAAGAGGGTAGTTAGCTTAAGGAAATCCTACAAACATGGGACCCTTGAAGGGGAACTTTCATTTAGACTTACTGTTAGGTGTTAGGGACTTCAACTTTTTACACTTTGATTACTTCTTCCCTGCCCACTGTTCGGTGTCATTTCTTTTATCTGAGCCTCACTTCCCCTAGGAAGATTTCATTGATTCTAAACTCATGGGGAAGATACAGTCAGGTCAACTACAGATGCCCATCATGTCAAACAGCTTCAAATGTCAATGCCATAATCCTCACTGAGGTTTGTGCCTTGCCCATGGTTTCTGTTTAATAAGCAGTCTGGTGTCAAGACTTACTTCAGAGGACTTAAATGGGAATTAGCCACCATTATATGTTGGTGTTCATGTCACATGGTTTGAGGTAAGAGAGGAAGGTATTAGCTTGCTGGACCTGTTGTAGCAAAGTGCCACAGATGGAGCCGGCGACATTAGCTGGACTTTTCCTTACATTTGTGGTAGATAGAAGGATCAGTGTGTGGTTAGGAGCTGTCTCTTTATCTTGTAGATGTGTCTTTTCCCTGTCTTCATGCGATCATCCTTCTGTGAGTTTTTGTGCTTCTCTAGCAGCAGTCAGACTTGAATAGGATTCATTCATTCTAGATCCTCCTAACAGAAGTAATTACAATATATGAATTTAGAAGGTCACATTTCAGTTTGTAGCAACAGCGCAGACATTAAGATGCAGGTACAGGGGCTGAGTCTTAGATATTGGTGTACATCCCTTGGAGATGGGTGGTTTCTGAAATCAAATTGCTGTGACCTGCTGCGTTGACTTATTTGGTAAGGCTGGGGTTGTGGGAGGAGAATTTATTTTGTAACAGGATTGCAGAAGAGGGTATCAGGCAATGCTAATATGAAGAACACCCTTTGGTCTATTTCTGTTTGAGTATGTGGCTAACTAGCCACATGTAGTGGTGTGAAATGTACAAAGAACAAAGAAACTTTGTAAAACTGTAAGATTTCATCACTATTTTCTTTTTTTTATATATAACCACGTTCA